CGCCCACCTTGGCCGATTCGGCGTCCTTGAGGAGCTGCTCTATTTGGGCAGCCTGCCCCACCAGGGTAGAATCCCTGGCAGCAACATCTTCTGTTGCCCGAGCAAGGGCCGCTTCCGCCTCCGCCTTCTGATCCCGGGCCCTCTGGAGGTCCATCCTGGACGCATGGTACCGGGCAGCAATGATAGAAATCTGCTGGGTAGCCTGCAAAGGAAGGAAAAAACTGTTAAGTCACAGAAAGGGAAAGCAGGTGTGAAGGAACCAAAGCAAAAAGGAACTCACCGCCAGGGAGTTCTGAATGATGGAGCGGAACAGCACGTTGGTTGATCGCCCCCGATGAGCCTCCATGTCAGCCTCAAAATGCAATGTCTCACTCACTGCATGGGCGACATGAGGATCCTGCAGAATGGAATCATCGACCCTGATCACTCGGTTCATGTGATCAGTGGCTCGGGGATTCCACTCCGCGGCCTCCACCGTAGGAAGGGGGGAAGGAGTAGTCCGTGGCTGTTGTTTGCTGCTGTTGTCGGGGCTGCTGTTGTTGCTGCGGCTGTTGTGGGGGAGCAGGCGGTAATCCACGATCCCTCCCGCTTTGCTGTTGAGCGGGAGGTGCTCTGGATTCCCGGCCAAGGACGTCGTGCCGATGCTTGACCCTCCTCTCCTCTTCCACCTGAGGATCCCGGTCTCGCACCTGACCCCGACCAGGAGCCCTCGAAGAAGTGGCGGAACTGGTTCCTGCCGGAGTACCGCCGGTCGTCCCTCTACCTCTCCCGGCTGCGAGGGTTTGCCTCTGCCTAAGAAACCCCAAATTAATGCGAGGGGCGTTGGACATCGCTTCCTCGAGAGCGTCTTCGGCGTCCAAAGATTGAAGAATTTGAAAGTCGGGCCACAAGTCGCCTCCCGGAGTCCCCACCTCGGCGTCCGAAGGAGCAGCGTCCTCTCTAACCCCGACCTCCTCAGCAACTCCTTCTACCTCTCCCTCTGAAGCCCGATCCGGGTCTTCCTCCAAGTTTTCCTCGACCTCTAGCCTCGCCGCCTGACCGAAGAGCTCTGACCACTGCGAAGGCTCGAAAGGTTGAGGAAGCTGTGAGAACTTCTTGTACCCGGGGGTATAGTGCAGCAGATTATGAGCAGCTCGGCCAAACCCGTCGGCACCCGTGAAACTCCAAACCGTTACTAGGTCGGCAAAGTTGACCAGCGACCGAGGAGGTGGAGCTGTTTCCCGAGAAGGGATATCTGCACAACAAAAAAGATTGTTATAAACATGAGAAGTCCCAAGAAACAAATAAAGGACCCGAAGGAACCGACGTACTTGTCGTTCTCCATTCCCGAGGGCAAAATAAGTCATTGTACTCGGGACCAACACCCCTCTCCCAACATCCCTTGAAGATTAAGATGTCGTCCTTGTACCCCTTGTCCGAATCAGGAAGATGGGTTACAAGGTACATGGAGGGGTCCCTGGCTTTGAGGTAGAAGTGTTGGTGAGGCATGACTCTTAGGAGGGAGTAACAGAAAAGGAGATCATTGAGCCCAATATTCACCCCGAGGCGCCTATTGAGCTCTAAGACCCCCATGATTATTCGAAAGACGTTGAGGCAGCATTGCCCGGGGAAGAGACGGAAGCGAGACAGGAACTGAAGAAGCAGGGGGGGTAAAGGAAACCTAATTCCACCCTCTATGATGGCCTTGGTATAGAAAGGCATGGCATCCGCGGCCCCGAAGGTAGGAGAGTTCAACAAAGGGTTAAAGCCCACTACGTCCACGCTCGGGGGAATGCCATACTTAACCCTGAACCTATCGATCTGCTCCTCGCCTGTCACCTTGTATTTCCCTGACCCCGAGGGACCAGCCGGTGGATTCTCGGGAGCAGGGCGACGACGAGGCATCTCTAAAAGAGGGAAGGAAAAGGTGTTTACTCTTGAAAACCTGAGGAAGTTCCCCGAGGGTTTAAATCAAGACGTACCGACCGGATGACACCACCGTTCAATCGGAAAACAAAAAGGCTAGGAGGACGATAAAGAAGAAGGTTGTGAAACTCACCCGAAAACGTCGAAAATGGAGTTTTTCAGGAAGAACTTTAGAATGACTCGCACCGGAAAGACCAGGAGTCAACAATGGGTTTACTGGCTGTGATTTTGAGAGAAAACGCTGTCGACGATGGCTGAGGAAACAAAAACTCCGGCGAGCAGATCAGGAAAGGCGTATTCTGGGTCAGAGATCGGAATGGCAAAACGATGGAAACCAGAGAAGAACCCCCTTTATATAGGGGGAAATTGTCATCATTGGGCGGGAGAACCAAAAACAGCGCATTTAATGCGCACGACGCCCCAAGCCGGGGAAAGCTGCTCGAGGCCATAATGAAGGATGGATGGCAGTTGGAAAACCCTTCGTCTCCTTACAACGCGTGTCCTCGGTGTCAGAAGATCGAAGGCTGGGGGGCAGTTGATGGGACTCTTCTGAAAAGCCCTGAAATAAAGACACGTGTCCTCGGGTTTTTCGGAAACAGTGTTGCCCGGATGTAAGCACCATCGGCGAAGAGCGTCCTCTCCCCCGAGGTACCTCTAAAGGATCATGCATTCGGAGTATTATACAACAACACGTGTCCTCGGTCACCGTGTACCTCGGAAACACACCACCCCTCGGTCCCCCGAGGTGAGCCTTTCCTCGGTGCCGAGGGTCACTCCATCCTGGACGCTTCCTCTACTCCCAGATAAAGCTACTGACGTACGGGACATCAGCCTATGCCAGTCTAGACTATTCATCATGACCTCGTCTTACACAAGTAATGTCAGAACATGCTGGAATACAGAAGTCATAGCCAATACGTGACGGACGCGTGGCATACGATATCACATCAAAAACAGACAAACCGCATGATGTTGCTGACATGCGCTTTGGGAAGCAAACATTTAATTGCACCCTTCTGTTGACGAGACCGCATTCAATGCGGTAAGGTTCGGATATGAAAGGCAATAAATGCTCCTATTACAGAGCATTTATTACATCATTCCCGAAAGGAGCATATTGTACCGTCGGCATCCCGACGACTCAACATTGATTGCTCGGGACCCCGAGCAGTCAATTAGAGAAGACACTCCTCATCAAATCAATACACACGCTACCTGTGCCTGATGATCACCTACTGACCACACTGACAGCAATCATGAGCTTCTAAGGTATAAATACTCCTCCCAAAAGGCAAAACGGGTATGCAATCACAAACTCTCCACTACAATACAGACTTTCTCAGTGTTTTCTTCTTCCTCTCTCTCATTCAAAGACTGACTAGACCGTCGGAGGGGATACGCCGAAAAACACTCTAGCACCCTTCTAACCTGTTCTTCTTTGTTCCAGGAAAACCTTTCACACGTACAGGATAGTTCTTCCTTTCCCAGGATCTTCTTTTGCCGTTCCGGGTTGCCACCGTACCTTGCAGGCTGTTTCAAGCAGCGTGTTTGGCTGCTCCACCGGCCCACTCGGAGTTCACCAGGGGAGAGATCTGTTCCCAATATTTTTATATTGTGCAGGATCTTGCACGCACAGAAGGTTTCATCTTCAAAAAGATGGATGAAAGGGTGGGATCCTATGTGCCCATTAAAATAGTTGTCATTCTATAGGTTTGTTTCTTTCTCCAGTTATTTCAATGCTTCATTAGAACAACTAAACCTGTCTTGTTATTTTATTTGGATATATTCTGAAGTCTGCATGTCACTAGACCTCCCTTTACCTAGCACATATTGTCAAGAGAACGACTCCACCACCCGGAAGAAAGACCTTGTTCACAGAGAGATAATCTTGCAAAAGGTTGATGTACAAAAGGATGCGGAATATGGAGAATGGACGGTGGTCAAATACGCAAAGAAATATACCGGAAAAGGTCTTGAAAATGCATCTCAAAACAAAAGACCTTCTAGAGCTTCTCATCAACTATCCAATTGCCCTTGTTGGAGAAGAAACAATGTCCACCACCCCAATAAATTTTACCCACTGGCACAGGGCCCACATGAAAACCAAAATCTCAGCCTCTCATACAAAACCAGGTGTCAAAACCACAATCCTTGTAATTGGGGAAGGAAAATACACTGCCACATTAGAACATATCCAAAAATGCAAACGAAGAATTTATTGAAAGCGGAGGACCCGACACACTCTATTTCTCTTCAATCCGTGGCCCAGATCATCCCCAGAAACAAGAATCAAATTGGACAACTAGGAAAAAAAAGAAAGCAAGGGAGGTTTCTAGCAAAACTCTTCCACTCTCCAAGAAGAGTAGTCGTAATGCAATGAAAAAAGGGCAACAGAAAGTCACGGGTGAACGAGACCAAGAACCGACAATAAATGATGGTCAAAAATCTAACAACTCCATTAATGCACCGTCGTTTGAGACGCCGGACAAAGACGCTTCTTACGAAAAAATGGGAGACACCTCTCCCAAGGATATTCAACAAACAACTTTACCTCCTCTCATCATATGATCATAGACGTCACTTCTGGCCCATTCTCGATCACTCAACACTCTCCGAGTCTCCAAATTCATAAGGCTCTAGTCCTTTCATATTTCAACGAAGCCGTAGAAATGGATATGGAAGTTGAAATTCGTGAAGGCTCTCCAAATACACAAACTTTAGAAACGCCCTTTACCAAAAATGTTCTCCCCGGGCAATATGCAGAGTCTCCCCATACCACTGAACCCATGGACAGCCATCCATGGATATGGAAGATCTGCAAGTTGATGATCCCAATAGACGCCGAAGCCTTGAGAACCATGATCTGGGAACCAAACCATCTCTGGGGCTGGTCTGACAACGAGATATACTGGGCGTGGGAGGATTTGACAGACCGCAACGGGGACTAGCTGAGCTTTGCAAGGGAGTGACCCAAACGAATCACATGCAACGCTGGACACCGGGGGGAATATAACGGTAAATACAGAACATAGCAAGGATCCTACATCCTTTGGAGATCAACAAGCGAATAGCCACAGAGCTCAAGTATTGATAGAATGGAAAGAACCACAAACCAGACCAATAGAAAACAAGACTTCAAGCCATGTAAACAAAACCCTCTTGGTGTTCATTCCAAGGGGACTTCAAAGAGCTTGCGGCACCGTGTTATCTGTGTGGAGGCTGGAAATTTGAATGATGGAACACCAACGGACAATCAGCCCCTGCTGGACCTGAGAGGAATGGATGAAGCTGGGTCCAGAATGGTCAGAGGCGACTACTGACTCTGCCAGTTCAGATCTACTGGTTCTCCTCAATTAGAAAATTAAACTCATAAATGAATGAAATGAAAGACATACAATGGAATTGCAGGGGTGCAAAACACCTAGAATTCTGGTCAACTTTTGCTAAACTCATCTAAATGCATCATTCAAAAATCTTAATCATCTTAGAAACATGAATTGGTGGCAACACAATTCAAGCAATCAGTTCTTCCTTCTAAATGGATGCATTCCGAGCGGACCCGGTCGACTTCATTGGAGGAATCTGATTGCTGTGTGGGGCTCACAGGAAGTTCAAGTGTCTGTAATCCAAATAACAGAAGAGGAAATCCTTGCCTTCATCGAGGTGGCTACTGAGCCAGCTACAGAAATCCCAGATCCAGCATCAAATGAGGGAGACGAACCCACTACGCGGATCAATTGACGAAGAACGAGACATCTGAACAATCTACTTTAGTTATCTTTAATTTTCCTCGTGTTTGTATTAAGGAACAACTACATGCTGACATGTTGGGGATATATTATCCTAGAACTATACATGTTCTAGTTTAATATTAATCCACATCCATTTTACAAAAAAAAAAAAAAAAATACAAAAGGGTCAAAAGTATATATCTTTTACAAAAAAAACAAAAACAAAAATAGGGCTAATTACAATATTTCACAACAAATGAAGCTAACTACATAAACAATATTATTGTCTTTCTTTATATAATCAGCCAAATTACTCACTCAATTATACAACTTAGTTGTCATAATCTCTATAGCTTAAAAATGAATGCAACATGTCAAAAATTTATATAAATGTATTTATAAAGTGTCCAAAATGCATTTAAAAATTCATAATTATTTAGGTATGAGACTGTACTAACTGATAGAACAAAAATGATAGAATATATATATAAGTAATATTTTTTTAAAATAAAATTGAGAGTGGGCCCTTGCTCCCTTGGTCAACTACGGCAAGTTTGAAAGCATGATTTGTGAAGCTTGAACAAGCGCCTCTCCGCCCATGGTGGATGATCCGTCTTTGATCGAATCGATGAACAATTAATCGAGGTGCGCATAAATTGATTTGGAGACTTTTGACCGTAATACCAAAATAAAATCAAATAAAACAATTGGTGCATGCATTTGCATACTCCTGTGTCAAACGCTTACCGTAGACTACATATTCTTTCCCATTCTTACCCAGTAGCCGCCGTTTTGCACACTTTTGATACATTCAAATCAAACCACTTGCACGTTTGGCCCAGAATCCAATTTATTTTCTGTTATACATGCAGCTCAATTACACCCCGCTCGAGCAAAGTGGGTTTATCTACGTGATTAAGAAACTGTCAATTATCAAAGATGACTTGGTATCGGTTTGTTGGAGTGATTATAAACTGTCAATTCTCATATACTACTTGGTATGATTTATTCTAGTGATTTAGCAGATGCTCATTCTCAGATACAATCTCCTATTGAGCCTTATTGGCAAAATAACAATTTTTTTTAAAGAAAAAAAAACGCAAAATAACAGTTTTCTCACTCTTTTTTTGGATGTAGGGTAAATATTGTACAATTTTACTGTCCATTTACACCAGTTTAAAGCATGACTTTAAATCATACTTTTTTTTTAATTAAAAATCTATTCTACAAATATCCCGAGTAAATTATATGTTGACCCCTTCAACTGTTATGTTTTTAACATTGCTCCTTCACTATGTGATTCATTTTACATTGCCTCAATTATTAACGATTGTTACATATTTAATAAAAAGTTATTTTATTTTGTCCATGAGCCACATAATTTTTTTTCATTTGCTCCAATACGTTAACAACTTTCATCTAAAAGGATAACATATGTTTGTAATTAGGGCAGTGTGAAATAATCAGAGTTGAGGGGGTAATGTAAAAACTTTAGTAGTTTAAGGGACAAAATAAAATCAAGTCTATAGTTTAGGGGGTTAAAGGGTAATTTACCCCTATCTTTTTACATTAAAAAAATAATTTAAAAAATTACAATAAATTTGGACACACATTAAAACTACTGTAAAAGAGAAATAAATTTTTTTTTTTGCTTTAGGGTGTTTAAGTTTGCGCCAATTATTCTTTAAAGTTTGAATACTGACCACGGTAATCCGAATGAGTTTAGAACATGTCTCTTGAAAACAAGGATGATTGTCCCTTAAAGTGCATGAAAAATATTAAACTTGAGACCTCTAAATTATTTGAGAGAATCATCAACCATTAAACCACCCAAAACAATGTTGTACAGTAGGAGTAATCGGTGAGAAAAACACTCTGTTTCAATGTGGGCCTATCCAAAACCCACGAATCAGCAACTATGTACGAATAAAAATAGGCCCTTAGCAAATGATTCACATATTAAAAGCTTGTCACTTTTTCAAGACAACACCAATCAAAATTGAGGAGTTATTCAAATTTATTATGAATTTTTAACATTGATTTATGTCCGTGTCCTCAATTTTGATTGACTGCCTATAAACAATTGTTTGCAACTGGTTTGCCTGGAAAGAGTTTAATCCCTTTATGATTTTCCAATTCATGCGCTTGATTTTTTTTTTTTTTTTTTATTTCTTATGTTTTGACAGTTGGTTTAAGTGTTCCCACTCAATTCAGACAGAACATGCTTTCTAAAATGTTCACAGATCCAATAAACGAATATAGATGAAAGAGGATTTCAATGGAATGATTGAAAACACAAAAAGGAAAAGCTCAAAGAAAACTGGAAAAAAAAAATGAAAGTAGAACCACACCTCGAGAAAAAGGGAAAAAAAAAGAGTGTGACTGATGAAAATCACATGGCTGATGTCGAGTGATAAAGTGTTCGACTACTAAACCACCCAAAAAAAAAAAAAAGAACCTGCCAAAAAAAAAAAAAAAACCACCCAAAAAGGGTGTTGTACAAAACACTTTGTTTCAGTGTGGGGCTGTCCAAAACCCACAATCAGACAACTATGTCCAAATAAAATTAGGCCGCTAGCAAATTGTCTCCATATTAAAAGCTTGTCACTTTTCCATGACAACACCAATCAAAAATGAAGAATTTAATTCCTTTATGATTTTCCAAAGCTTGAATTTTTTTCATTATTTCTTTTGTTTTGACAGTTCGTTAAAGTGTTCCCACTCAATTCAGACAGATCATCATCCATGTGATTTTCGTCAGTTACACTGTTTTTTTTTCCCTTTTTCTCGAGGTGTGGTTCTACTTTTTTTTTTTTTTCCAGTTTCCTTTGAGCTTTTCCTTTTTGTGTTTCAATCATTCCATTGAAATCCTCTTTCATCTATATTTGTTTATTGGATCTGTGACCAATTTAGAAGGGCCTTTCTTTTCTTGAATCCATTCATGGCTAGTGAGACTGCTGTGTCAGATCATTCTACAACCCTTGAGGTATGCTTTGTGTTCCTGTGTTTTCTTGGTTTTTATTAGTTTTTATGTTAGTAACTAGGTATGATTTGAAATTTTTTGAGTTCATGCTATGGTAGATGTTCTGGAGCTAGACCCACGTATGATTTAGTTTATTTGTTCACTTTTCACCAGAAGTAAAATACTTTGGAGCTATGATTATGGATTTGTTGAGCAAGACCCACTTCGTTCATAATTTATCTTTGCAATAATCTGCGGAAATTAATGGATAACTAACTCATGATTCTGGACTTTTGAGCAATACACACTTAGGAAATTGTCGAATTTGGATTTATTTGTTGAATTTATTGAATATCTTCTCCCCCTCCCTTGAAGTTTTCTTATTAGAAAATATCTGTTTTTTTGTCTCCACTAGGTAGAATAATCAGGTAATTCTGTGGAGTTGAAGGAACTTTGAGATTTTGTTCACTAAAAGAAAAGAACAAAAATTATCGGTAGTGGATAAGATATACTAAGTTTGGATTCAAGTTTTCTTTTGCATTCTAGACAAAAAAATGATATATTCTGGTATCCACCTAAAATCAGACATAAATAGAATGGTGGCAATCTTGTAGTTGAGATTCCAGAATTATGGTTCGGTTAATTTTCAGTTGGGAGATGATGTATTCAGCGGGAGTACTATCTGGTCCGTAATTGTGCACATTTTTCGAACAGAAGATTGGGAAATCTCCTCATAAAGATGGTGTGATAGCAATCTATAGTGATTAAGAACAACAGATGACACTAGAACGTGTATTATGACTTTTGATCATTCAGTTCCAGATGAAAATCCCTCAAACCAGTCAGAAGAAGAAAGATCTATATGATAACTTTCCCAGGGAATGCTCATTCGCAATCTTCGTTTGCCTCCAACAACTCGTTTCAACTACCTTTTTATGCTGTTTTTTTCGGAAGTTATTTTTATGTTGTTGTTACCTGTTTGTGTTTCCTCTATAATCTATAGTCCTGCTTTACATGTTATATGCGAGGAAAAAGTTGAGGTGCCACAAGAGCTCAAAAAAGAATAGATATTATGATTGGCTGTGGTTAAGATGATAATGCCTTAAAGTTTTATTTGCATTTTCACTTTCAGTTTTTCCTACTACATTTCTTTACAGTTCATGAATATTTTTTTTCTCATTTCTTTCAATCTTTGATTTTGGAGTGATGGTGACTGTTCAATAGATGGGTATTTTTTTCTTTTTTACATCTTCTTCCTTTGTTTATTGATACTAATCAATGTCGCATTTGCTGCAGACAGTAGAGAAGGAAGTGCATGAAGAGGTAAAAACCATTGAAAAAGAGAGTGTTTCTCCTCCTAAACAAAGTGGGGAGGAAGAAAAACCGAAAGCAGAGGAAAGTCCGAGTCCAGCAGTGCCTTTGGTGGCTGAATCAGAAAAAAAGATTGAGAATAAGCCAGCCGAGCTTCTGGTAACTGAAGATGGAAAGAAGATTGATGTGGCAGAAAATCCAAAAGCTGGGGACTCACCAAGTCCAGCAGTCAGTTTGGAACCAGAAGAAAAGATCGAGGATAAACAAGTTGAACCTTCTGTAATGGATGATGTAAGAAAGATTGATGAGGAAGGAAATCCCAAAGCTGAGGACTCTCCAAGTCCACCAGTCACTTGGGTTGCATCAGAAGAAAAGAATAAGGATAAGGGAATTGAGCCTTCTGTTATTGATGAGTTAAAGAAGATTGATGAGACCCCTGACGTGGAGTTTCTTGTTGAACCTTCTGCAATGGATGATGTAAGAAAGACTGATGAGGAAGGAAAGCCCAAAGCTGAGGACTCTCCAAATCCACCAGTCACCTTGGTTGCATCAGAAGAAAAGATCGAGGATAAGGGAATTGAGCCTTCTGTTATTGATGAGTTAAAGAAGATTGATGAGACCACTGATGTGGAGTTTCCTGTTGAACTTTCTGTAATGGATGATGAAAGAAAGACTGATGAGGAAGGAAAGCCCAAAGCTGAGGATTCTCCAAGTCCACCAGTCACCTTGGTTGCATCAGAAGAAAAGATCGAGGATAAGGGAATTGAGCCTTCTGTTATTGATGAGTTAAAGAAGATTGATGAGACCACTGATGTGGAGTTTCCTGTTGAACCTTCTGTAATAGATGATGAAAGAAAGACTGATGAGGAAGAAAAGCCCAAAGCTGGGGATTCTCCAAGTCCACCAGTTACTTTGGTTGCATCAGAAGAAAAGATCGAGGACAAGGGAATTGAGCCTTTTGTTATTGATGACTTAAAGATGATTGATGAGACCCCTGATGTGGAGTTTCCTGTTGAACCTTCTGTAATGGATGATGTAAGAAAGACTGATGAGGAAGGAAAGCCCAAAGCTGAGGACTCTCCAAGTCCACCAGTCACTTTGGTTGCATCAGAAGAAAAGATCGAGGACAAGGGAATTGAGCCTGCTGTTATTGATGAGTTAAAGAAGATTGATGAGACCCCTGATGTGGAGTTTCCTGTTGAACCTTCTGTAATGGATGATGTAAGAAAGACTGATGCGGAAGGCAAGCCCAAAGCTGAGGACTCTCCAAGTCCACCAGTCACTTTGGTTGCATCAGAAGAAAAGATCGAGGATGAGGGAATTGACCCTTCTGTTATTGATGAGTTAAAGAAGATAGATGAGACCCCTGATGTGGAGTGTCCTGTTGAAGAGATGTCAAAATTGGCCAAAGACTGTATTCCTGAACCAAGCATCCTTGATGTTTCAGAACCAGTTGCTGACAACATTACGTGCAAGCCAGAGAAGAAACCAGTGATTGATACTGTTGAGAAACAAGAAGTGGAATCCATCATAAAGTCTGCTGAGGAAAAGCCAGAGGAGATGCCAAATATAGTTGATGTTCCTGAATCATCAGTTGAGGCTGTCAGGAAAAAAGGGGAGCAAGTAGAAGTTTTAACTGTCGAAGAATCAGAAGCTGTTGCAGTAGAAGACGTAGAAAATTCAGAAGCAGAGTCTAAACAAGAACGTCCCGAACCAATTCCTAAAATAGAAGAGGAATCAAAACAACCATCTGAAGTTGCTGAAAAACTTGAGGAAGAATCTGTAGTAATTAAGGCAAAGGAAAGTGTGGAGGTTCAGATAGCGAAAGATGAAGTTGACGATACAAAGTTGAAGGAGGAACAGATTACTAAAGAACAAACTCTTGTGACCGAAACTTTAACTCCAGTTCCTTTGGTCATTCAGGAAGCTCAAGTTAATGTAAAAGGAGGACCCACTCATGTTCCCGAGAAGGGCAGTTTGAAGGACAAAGAGAAGGAATTGGGTGGAGAAGCTGCTGTGGTTGAAGAACAGGCAGAAGAGGAAGTTGTGGAGGGAAAGTTTGAAACAGATAATGAAGCTAAGAATGTAATAACTGAAGAGAATGGAGAGAAAAATGTTCCAACTGGGGAATTGACTCAACCTGAAGCAAAAGAAGTGGAGGATGTGACCAGCTCCATTCCTGTCACTGAAGCTACGGAGAACTCATTGGAGGGAGAAAATTCTCGCAGAGATATTGAACTTGTTGCTGAAAATGGGAAAGAAAACATAAATAATGAGAATGTTCCCTCAGTCAAAACCAAGAAAGATCAAGATCAGCTTGAAGAAAAGGCAGATGAAGTCGCAAAAATTCCCACCAAAGAACAAGTAGAGGAGCCCCAGAAGCCGGAGGTGGAAGTGAAAGGAGAGGATTCTGTACAAAGTGGTGAAACAAAGCTAGAGAAGGAAAAAGAAGCCGATGAGACAACGCGAGAAGTGTCAATTCCTGAACGCACCAGGGATGGACATGACATGAAAATATCCCAGGACCCTCCCACAGAAGTGGCTTCAACGAAGGCCACTCAAAAGCAATCAAACAACATCATGGCAAAGGTGAAGCAATCACTCGTGAAGGCAAAGAAAGCTATCATCGGAAAATCCCCAAACTCGAAAATGTCTTCTTCTGAAACCAAGGGTGATGTTAAAGCTAAATGATATGAAAGAAAGAGAAAGTGAACCCTCCTAGGAATGAAGAAGTTTGATATCTTTACTCAGTGTGTGATATTTTGTTTGGTCCAGCTGTCAGTGTTTTCTGCTGCTGTTTGTTTGCTCGTGTGTTTGGCTTGATGTGTTTATAGAAGGTATACATAGTGCTGGTCCATATTGTTCAAACTAGGAAGATTTATTTTTTAAATACCTGTTCATTTCTCTTGTAGTCAATGCTTGTGCTTTGGTGTTACAATGATCAATAGGCAAGAATTTTTCATTGTATAGATTTGTATTACAGTTGTGTATATTGGTAGAATCATAGTTGTCATTTCTGTGTTCTGTAACTTCTGTTGTGTTTCCCACTAGATCATATCATACTGCCTTAACTTTGTAATGAAATTAGTGGACAACTTCATGTTATCCATTTTGTGCTGATTGATAAAAAAAGGTGGCCGAGAATGAGGCTTCTGCCATTGCAGCGTCTGCAGGGTCTGGAAATGGAGATGTGTTTGATTTTTCTTTATTGCAGTATACCTTGCTATCTAAATTAACTACCTGTCGTCTATTTTCCATTGGCATATTTTTTTATTTTGCCTTTTCTATCTCACCAATCATTGATTTCAAAATCCTTAAGCTAGGTAATTTTATGGGCAGTATCTATAACCATTTTCACAAAATGTCGCAAGATCGCTGCTCCCTACATTATACAGGGAACGAATGAAGTTCAAAGAAATGGTTAAATATGATGGTGAAGGCAATAATATGGCCCTTCTTTTCAGGGACGGCTCAATTAGGGGTGCAACTCGGGTGGGTTGAGGGGTTAACCCTAGTCTAACTCTAGTTATATAATTTTTAACCTTAATCTTAATCTTAACTCAACCTCAATTAGAGATACCCAACTCGAGTATTATTCAAGTTTAAGTCGAACAGACTTGGGTTGAATTTGGGTAAATTCTGGGTTAGAGTGCGAGTTGGGTTCATGTTACATAATTCGAGTTGAGTTCATTTAAGTCCGAAATCAGTTTGTTGTTCTAAACCTGGTACATACCACATAGTATTTACCTAAAATAACGTTCAACAACTTCAATCAAATGTTTAACATAAATGCCATAGTATTTAAAGCAAAAAAATTAATGTTTAACATAAAGACATAATAACCAAATGTTTAACATTAAGACTGAACCAGAAGATTGATCCCTATCGTATTAACTTTTAAATTATACTACTATATTGATTTATATATTTATTTTTAAATATTTTCGGGTTGAACCTACTTTATATATTAGGGTTGACCTAAATTTGGAATTTGGGTTGAGCCCGATTTAGAATTCAGGGTGAGTCCAATTTATATATTCAGGTTGAACTTGGAAACCCGATGCCTCAATCAGGGCACTGCCCAAATTCAATTTAGGTTAATAATTTTTTTGGCCAGGCCCAATCCAAGTCTTAAAAATCTTAACTCATGTGATGTTTTTCTCGAGTTGAGTTTAGGTTGAATTTGAGTTGGTCCGTCCAAGTTGCACCCCTACGCGATATAGTTCGAGATTTAAAGCGATAGATATGAAAATGGTCTTTTATTTTTTGAAAATTATCTTACAATTCTTATTATTATTTTTTTTTGCCTTTTGAGATGAAAATTTCTTATTTTGCTTTGTATTAAGTTTTTCTAACATATTTTTTTTAACTAATAGTATAATTAAGTGACTTAATCTTCCTTATACAAACTTGGATGTTACGTAGGATTTATTAATTTTAATTTTAAAAAACTTCTATTTAAAAAAGAAATTGTTATGGAATGTCAACAATATTCTGCAAAAAGAATGAATTTGAAAAAGAATCCAATCTATTTAATAAGAGACAAGACATTTAAAATCTCTAAAGACATAAACTTATGTTGAGTTTTTTGCATTCCAGATTTATCTGAATTTGTCTTACTTTGATCCAATGGTTGAAATTCTCTTATAAAATTTTATTTTCCCGCCCACTATTTTTCTTGATTATATTCCTCCAAATACTCCAGCTGGTACATGATGCAAGGAGAAATTTTAGGGGGCTAAAATCTTAGCAGCTAAGGAAAGGATATCTAGATTCTTTCATCTAACAGTATAAATTTTTCGGAATAAATAGAGGAGGGAGTCTATTTGTAACACTTGAAGGTTTGACATAGATTTCCTTATAAAAATTAGGTTTTCAAAAATATTTAAATTTCTTTGATCCATTTGTAATTTAGTCACAAAATAATTGTTTTTTTGAATTCTATTAAAGTTATCTTGATTCTTTTAATATGATGATACTTGCTCGATTTGCCAAGTTTTGGTAGAAAACAAGTGCAATAAATTTATGTCAAGTACTACATACAAATAATGTTAATTTTCAGGATATAATGTCTTTCGATATAGACAATAATTAGTATTTTTATAGAATTCAATATTACAAGTAGGATGCTTTCTTCTGCTTAAGTCTGAAAATCAATCTAGACCATCAATAACTGAAAATTGAAGTGGAAGACAATCTGAACCCTAAGTTTCCACACTTTCTTATTATTGTCCACAGTGTTGTCCTAGCCATATCTTGAGTCTTTAGAGTTGTGACTCACTAAAAATGACCTGTGAACTCACTACTATATTATTATAAATATTGGTTACTTTTGATAGCTTTGTTTGTTACTGTGTTTGTGTGTGATATTGCTAGTTGTTTGATAGTACATTATCTCCAAGAATTTCTCCTACTTTTGTTCTAACCCTACGCCTGCATTAAGTGGTATGAGGTATTTGGTTGTAGTAGTTGTCTCATGAAAATTTCTAGCAATTTTTGTACATTCTCATTGTTTGGTAAAATTCTTGAAAGAATAAAGCTACTATTTTAGAGCACCATTAGTTATCCTACGGTTAGTAATCCAATTGTTACATGTTTTTCACTTCCATGGACATATTTTGTTCACTATTCTACATCTATAAGAGTCATTTTTAGGCTGGGACACATCATTCATCGTCCTAAACTACTGAAAGTCAAATCCAAGTGTCAAATTTGGTATTTTTATTAATCAATTGAGCTTCCTCACTGTTAATTACAATGAACCTCAGCACACTGCAGCAGCTCAACCAAATCCAGCTGATCAACACATGTGAAACTGTTGTAACTAACTCCTGTCCAGCTCAGCAAGATCTGTAACAGAGTTGAAAGTTTGTTAGTCTAAAAATTGTGTATAAATACAACATCATGTATAGAGTAAGTTGTAATGAAAAATAAATCAGCAATGAAAGTTCTCTATCTTCATCTTTCTGAAACTATGTATTTCAACATGGTATTAGAGCTGTAAATCAGACAAACATCTGTATCAATGGCAACAAATTCAGTAGGTACTTCTCCTTCATCCTTTTCTTCTTCATCTTCAACTACTATAAACACAGTCTCATCTTAGTCTCCTATCTACCTTTTGTCAAACATTTGTAACCTGATATCTCTTCGTCTGGATTCTACAAATTATGTGTCATGGAGATTTCAAATCTCTGCACTGTTACGTGCTCATTCTCTTTTCAATTTTCTTGATGGATCAAATCCATGTCCAGTGCAATTTCTTTCTGATGGAAATGGTACAGCTACTATCGAAATCAATCCACAATATCAGCAGTGGATTGTCTAAGATCAAGCACTAATGACACTAATAAATGCTACTCTTTTTATAGTCAGCTATTACACATGTTATAGGATACACAACTTCCCGAGAAGTTTGGCTAGCTTTGGAAAAAAGGTTTTCTTTTTATCTCGAGCAAATATTTTACAACTTAAGACTGTTTTGCAAACAATTACGAAAGGAACAAAATCCATAGATAAGTATTTGCAGAAAATAAAGGAGTCTCGAGATAAGCTTGCAGCAGTTTTAGTTCTGGTAGAAGATGAAGATCTGCTTATATACACCTTGAATGGATTGCCAGCTGAGTACAGTGCCTTCCGAACTGCAATTCGAACCAGATCACAACCACTTTCTTTGGAAGATCTGCACTCTCTTCTTAAGGCTAAAGAGCTATCCATCAAAGCCAACTCAAAGTCACAAGTGAGTTATTTCAATCCTACTGCCATGATAGCACCACAAATCAGACAGCCCTTTTATAACAACAATGGTAGAAACTACTCAAGCCAAGGAAGAGGAAATAGAGTTTGTAATGGTAACAGAGGAGGTAGAAATCAGAATGGTTACAATAATAGATTCAACACACATTAGCAGAGGTCTAACTCAAATCAATACAACCAGAACAAATCTCCACCAGTCACTTGTCAGATTTGTAACAAAATTGGTCATAATGTTGCAATTTGTTATCATCGCATGAATACTGCTTATCAGGGCCAAAATCATCAATCCTCAGCTTAATTCAGTGCTATGACTGCTACCTCAGACTATTCTTCTAATCAACAGTTCAATCCCAATGACTGTACACCTGAATTTTCACCCTACACTGCTATGGCTGCTACATCTGGTCAATAGAGTCCAATTTTTTGGCTTATTGATATTGGTGCTTCCTATCATGTCACTTCAAGCCTTGCAGATCTGTCTCTTGCCTCTCCTTATTTTGGTGAAGACAAAGTGTCTATTGGAAATGGACATGAGTTACCTATCACTCATACAGGTCTATCTCTTCTTCAAACTCCTTCTCACTGTTTCAAACTTAACAAAGTCCTTCGAGAACCTTCAATTGCTACAAATCTCATCTCTGTCAAAAAACTATGTCTTGATAATAATTGTCAATTCATATTTGATGCTACTTCGTTTGTCATTTAGAACAAAGCCATAGGGCAAGTCCTCTACAAAGGTCAGAATAGCAATGACTTGTATCCCATCAATGCTCTCACCAATTTTAACTCCTCTCTTACTGCATATCTTGGTACAAGGATCACTGATCAGTCTTGGCATGATCGCCTTGGGCATCCATCTACTTCTGTTCAGCAAAAGATTCTTTCTCAGCTGAATCTACCTACTTCTTCTGCTAAATCTACTTCATGTATTTGTG